ATGATTGGTTGATTGCCTTTGAGACACAGATGCGATCAGGTGCCAAACATGTGTTTATATTGTGCACAATGCTGCGAGTTATACAAATCTAAAACAGACAAATGTGAAGCTACATTTCCTACAACCAAAACCTACGGCACATATTCAGCCAATAGATGCGGGCATTATTCGTGCATTCAAGACTTATAATCGAAAGAATCGTGTGAGACCTCTCCCAGACAGTATTGAGAACAACGAGGCGCAACAAGTAAATATGAGGCAATCTCTACCAATGGTGAAGCCAGCATGGAATGTCGTTTCCGCCACCACCATCAGGAACAGTTTACATCTCGTTTGACATCATCCAATTATAACTGACTGCAGATGAAATTACTGACCCAGGAACAGGAATTCCACTTTCTGATTTGAGAGATGCCATAAGAACAAATGCTGAAATTACACAAAATGAAACCAAAACTGAAATCGATAACATCATCAGCAGTGTCACAAAACAATACACACAAGCAAGTGATGATGAAATGGATTTTGTAGTTCCGACTTGTCAGTACACCGAAACGTCGCATTCATTGTAAGAAAGAGGTTGTATAAGATAACAGCGTTAAAGTACTGTAGAAAATGCTTTTTGCCTGTACAAGATATGGAGTCTGTACTGGGAAATGTACACAAGTTCTTTTCACTTTAGAGAGAAAGCCATTTTTTTATTTATTACCGAAAAGCCCAAGCTATGGGATTTTCAATTCATATCTCCAAGTCTTCGGTATGATAAGAAAACAAAACAGGTATAGGGGTCGTCTCAAACACAAAACTGGGACGTAAAAAGATATCAGACAGCTTTGAAACAGTGTAATAAGGCGTATAGTGTACAAGCTTTATGAGCAGAAGGTAAGCCTGACTTGTAGAATTTGGGAGGAATTAAAGATACAATTCATGTTTCCCGGACTGCACTAACTATTTCTCTCCAAGAGATGGGATTTCGATACACTGCACGTGGTGATGACTGAGCACTTTTCAGTGGAAAATATTCCATCCTGTCTATGAGGTCACATTATCGCCGAACCATTCATAACTACCAGTCAGGGCGCCCAGAAAATTTGCTTTGGTGAATCATTCCACTGACTACATGTGGCTATTGGCAGATGGACAAAAAGCATCCATGGTAAAGGTAAAGGTAATCATGTCATTGTTTTGCACGCTGCATCCCATGCTATTGGGCTTATTGATGGATGTGTGCTAGTTTTAGAGGTGAAAAAGAAAACTGGTGATTTTCATAAGGAAAGTATAGTAGGTGATGTTTCATAGACTGGTTGGAACTTCAGCTTTTGCCCATCAGTGTCATTGTCATGGATAACGCCAGTTAATATAACGTCTGGGAATCAGATACTGTCGCCCAAACCATGAGTAGTCTGAAGGCGACCATACAGGAATATGACATTGTCGACTTCAGACCATATGAAACGAAAGTTGAACTCATGGAGAAAATTCGGCTGGATAAGAAACCAGTAAAGTACAAGACATATGTGCTGGCGGCACAACACGGTTACGTTGTCTTACATACGCCAGTTAGACATTGTGTGATCAGCCCTGTTTTACAAATCTCGGGTAAGTGTAACGGGTTCACAGAAAGGCTTAACACAACATTCAAAAGAACAGATTCATATAGGTCATCAGTGGAGATAAAATAACCATCAAGAACAACAAATACTTCTGGATTCCAAAACCGCAACCTTCCAATACTCATTTCATTTCATAGCTCTTAACTAATCCATCATGTTTCCAAGCAAATATGTAGCAGTACATTTCCTAAATTGCTACCCTATCAACGTATGTCAATTAAGTACAATAACAACAATATTTTAAAGACCAACCCCAACACGGCGACATTTGCACCTGTGAGAATGCACGGGACGTTATGAGGTCATCCCCTTGGGACAGGTGTTAGGTAATTACCTCAGGTTATAGGCCATTTCATATATGCATGACAACACACACATATTTTCTATGTTTATCATCATTTTACCTGTAAAAGTACTTTTTAAGGGTAATCACAATGTCAGTTAGGACAGGCTAGATTAGGTCAAATCACGTTATTTAGATATGCTCTTTTTATAGTCCTATTACTCGTATTTAAAAAATGAAGCCAGAAAAGCAGTTTTCTATCATTTCCGACAGTACTTTAGTATCTGAAGAGGTTGGATATCCATAGAACTATTGCTCATCATAGCAACTTCCAAATGCCACTTAAAGAAGTCTGGCCTGTTGGATAGCCTTGTGGTTAAAGCGTTAATTTGTCATGCTGAAGAGCCAGGTTTGATTCTTGACATGGGTACAATGTGTGAAGCCTATCTCTGGGGGCCGTGGTAATGCTGGAATATTGCTTGAATATTGCTAAAAGTGGCATAAAACCTAACTCACTCACTCACTCACTCACTCACTTAAATAAGTCATGGAACATTAAATAGAAGTGAGGAAATCCTTTCCATTTTACATTTGCATGGTATTAGAGTGAGTCCTACTTCTTTGATCTTTTTGAAAACTGCCTTCAGGTGTTTTAGAAACTATTATGTCGTCTATCTATATTAGTATGTAACGCCAATTAATTTCTTTACTGCATCTTAAATGGTTTGCAGAAATAGGATTGGGACATTTAGGAGGCCAGAATGAGCAGATTCCATCTGCCAAAAACCACTAGTACAACCAAGCACACTAAAGATATTGGCAGTGGCGGAAGAGGAAAAAAAGATAGGTTTGGTAACAGCATTGAGGCGTCTATAATCTGTGGCAAAGCGATAAGAGCTATTACGTGTTTTAACCATGACAATGAGAGAGTGCCATTCAGAAGAACTGGGCTGAATGATGTTGGCTTCAAACATTTCTTCCACCTGTCTGGAACATGATTTCCTAATGGGTGGTGTTTTGCTTATCAAAAGGGAATCTAATGGGTCTGGTGTCACCTTTTTGTCATCTAAGGCAAAAACTTTGTCTTTGTCTTTGTGATTGTGAGTACTTGGACTTTCAATATTTTTAAAATGATCTTGGACACAAAAGCTATACGACTTTCAGCGGTATTGTTATGCTGCATGGCTAGTCATGGCTTCGGCCTCACCAACGATGTGGACGATGACGTATCGTCTGTCTCCCGTCAATCCAGTGTGCCTATAATGGACCATCACCCTGCTGATTGTCATTCGGCTATAGCCAAAACTCCTTGCAACCTGGTCATGCGTTGCTTCTTGGTGTATCATACCTATGGCCTGTTTCTTCAGTACCATTAATCTTAGCATGTTATTTGTCACTGTCCAACGGTTTGGGTGTGAATGACCAGTACATCGTTCCTTTTATACCCATGTCTTTGTAGACTGGCATGCCGCAAATGCAGGAAAAGTTTGACTTCAAACTTTAGTAACGCGTGCATTACTAAACAACTGTTGTGGTTGTGTTTGTTTGATTTTCAACCCTTTTGTGACACTATTCGGAGTTAAGATCCAACGTGTTCAACTTTCAGTTTGGTACCGTTTCATTTTTTCGTCAGTTTACATCAAAGTTATGCTACTTATGGCCATCATCCACAATCTTAGTAATTGAAGAGTACATTCCTCCAGTAGATGTTAGAATAAACATGTCAAGTTTATTGGGTTTTGTTACCCATGATGTTACATTTAATTTGAAAATAGGGAAAGTCCCTTAGATGACGTTCCTATCATGGTTACAGGTGAAATAAAAGCTTGTTTCTTGCCACAACTCCTTTTTAACATCATATTAAATACCTTAAAAGTGAGGAGGGTAACAGATAGATTCGTCAATTATGCCTCCATCTATCTGAGTATGGATTCATTGTTGATAGTGTAAATGTATTTCGGAAAATAGCTTTAATACATATCTGAGTCTGGTGTAGACTATGGGCGGTCTGCCAGAACAATCCCTCACAGTGTTTGACTCACAATAGTATCGTTTGCCCACAAGAAATTTGAGTTCTTGTTTGATTGTTTTTTGTTAGCTCATACGCCATTGGTTCTTTTTAAAAGCTATGGTTATATGATCAGGTGACAAGTTTCCATTTGGATAGAAATTCTGTAGCTCTTCTTATACAAAGGTACACCACGACGACTGAACGTTTACAGAGAATGATGGTAAATTACCTGCCATCTCCTCATACAGGACCTTTGTTGGACATGGTTTCTAAAGTGTAATTACAGCCGTTGTCAGACCATTGAATGTATTGATTTATGTATTAAGTAATTGCTTATTCTGCCATGTGCTTCATTGTGTAATTCTCCACATGCGGTGTTCATCCAAAACTACATAATTATTTTATCAAAGTTGTGAGGAAATCAATAGCAACTTCCTTTGTTCCCTTGTCATTATGTTAAGGTTTTGCCAGCAGCCAATGGTAACTGCATTGATAAGACAGACAAGAATTTTTTTTTGGCAGATCAAGTCTCAAATGCAATCAAATAACAATGCATCAATCGTCCCATGGGCTCCCCTCGCCTGCACTGAACTGTGCGAAGTGATATTTACCCTTTCAATATGGACGTTTCAAACAGGTGATACTTGCTGTTGGAACACCAAGGCATACAAGGTGGATATGTATGTTGGATACAAATATTACAAACAAGTGATATGTGTTATACGATATTATAATCGAGTTATTGATAAACACAGTAGACAGTCTTGCTTGACAACGGTATAAAGACTTACACTGAAACGTCGCCTTCACAGTATTAAAGAAGTTGTTATCCATAAAGTGTCTGCTTTGTCATCCGTCATCTTCTAAGTAATGTCTATCAAACAATTTAAAACAAAAACAATTCAGAAATAACGTTCAGAGGTAATGAGTTAAATATTCCAGGTGCCAAAATTTGAATGAAATATAAAGTGGTCTGTTAAGATTGCATAATGCCGTCTACCCATATCGCTGTCATGTTATTCAACGTGCTTGTTAATGCACATAGTTTATGTGTTATTCATATACAACCGTAACATTACTGAATTGACTGTTACCTAAGGCGGCCAGAAACTTCCTGTCTGCATTGTAATGTTATTCAAAACAGCAGGAGTCCAAACACAACTCGGTTTAAATTACATCTCCATCGATATCACTGGTAGCAACCTTTCACCAGTTGTCACGCAAAATAAGGTACAGTATATGAAGTATCTCAGGAGTGGTTGTCAGTAACCACGTCACAAAGTTGTCTTGCATTGTTCTGAATGAAGTCTTTGCCGGTGAGTAATTTCTAGGCCGCATGTTTCACTGAATGACGAAACGTTACTGTATATTGTTGGGTGATAGAATGTTGTGTTTCGTGACAGTTTGCAATAGCCAGGTTTATTACGACAGCTTGTAATTTGTAAATATTAGAAACAGACGTGTCATTGACGAACGATCTACTACAGTCGCGGTAAGATGATACACATTCAACTACATAATAATATGCCTGACGCTCGGTATTAGGGCATATAATATTCATCAAAAATGTCTGCATCAAATTACAATTAATGCATGGGATACTTTATACAAATCACTTGTAGCTTTTAAATTCACATACCCGTTTCATAATTGGGACCTTTTTAAACCAGGTTTGTGCATTCTTTACATGTCATGTAAATATGTGTAGCCGTGCAGTGAATGATACTTTTTGAAAGGAACGACTTGACTGACGTACCATGACACTGTACATGTTGAGGATAAAAAAGAGTCGATATGTTGATTCGTGGCAACACCCTGCTCATGCTGTGATAGACCAACACTGAAGTGATTAGATATAAGAGACCCGCTTAGTAAGACGCCACTCTGATAAACTGTTTGATAAGAAGGTAATTGGTGCGTTAATCTATTTTCGTCATACAGAAACATGTTTTCAAACTGTTTCCACTCTGTTGAATAAGTCCCCATGGTCACTAGTATGGTGATCACCCTTTAGTGATTGACGATCTCTAGCCCATTTTTATATTATGTTGTTAACGAATACTTTCTGCTTTATATATTCTCAACTAGTTTTAAATCTGTGTGTGTGATATTCTTGTTATTGTAATGTCCTTTGGGGACAGGTATTTTACAAGTAGGAAATTCTTTGTAATCAAATGTATGCTTTTATTTCGTCACGATATGGTTGTAATATTGCCGATGTGACGTTACATTTTAACTCACTCACTCACTCCACTCTGTTGCTTACATGGTGTGGATGACATACTAATATGTATATATGTACTTCGTGCCTTGTCGTGGGCACGGGTGGCCCAGTCGTCTAAGGTGCCGCGATTCTCTGTGCAGAGTTGCATCCCTTGGGAACGCTTGAAACCTATGATTGTGGGTTCGAATCCCGGTTCGTCCCGATTATGTTTCTAGGTTTTTCGTCACCATACCCTTGCTCGTGGGTTTCACTGAAGTAGTAAACGTCTGAGACCTGTATCACTTCGGGCTTTCCTCACACATTAAGCTGACACGCCGCGATATGACTGGAATACTGTAAATGGACATCCAATCTTTTTTTTCACAGAGAAATGAATACTTTGGAAGTATGCAGCCATTGTGGAGAGAAACTTGAATACACTGAAACGGATATCCATTTAGCTTGCACAGAGTATGTATGTTTTCTTTTAGATACATAGAAACCTCCATTACTTTCTGCCTGCTGCGTGGTTCGGGGTAGCATGGGTGGCAAGTACTCAATGATTGTCATAAGAGCAAGTCGTTGGCAGGTTTAAACTCGCATATTTGCAGGCTGCCGTGACACAGTTGCAATATTCTATATTTACTATCACCCAGTATTTCTTTTGTGTGAGTGAATGGGCATTAATTACTATTGATGTAATTATTCCGGCCAATTTGTTGTAGCGCTTTGTTTGTTTGTTGTTTAACACAACAGTCAGCAATATTCCAGCTATGTAACGGCGGTCTGTAAATAATCGAATCCGGACCAGACAATCCAATGATTAACATCATGAGCATCGATCCACGAATTTGGGACACGATGACATGTAATAACCAAGTCAGCGGGCCTGATTTCCCCTGATCCCACCGGTATTCTGAAAAGTGACTTCTGAAAGTGTCATGTAAACATATGTGCTAACAGAATGTATAAACAGAGAGTAAAATATGTTGCGAGAGATCTGGTCACAGCTTTACTGTCTGTTTTAGGAACATTGAAAGATGCAATGCAGCTGTGACGTCGTTCCAAGACACAATGGCTACCAGCCCGAACATACAATTTATGGGTATTCACGTCCGCTATCTGTATGGCATCGACAGGAACTTAACTGATCGAGAAAAAATCGAGAAAAAGAAGAAACGGAGTTTGAAGCTTTTCGAGCTCACAAGGCATATCTCAGCGCTAAGAAATTCTAATGGTGGCTACTTACTTGTTCACATTGTAGGCTTAACTCCAAATGAAAATTACATTGGTGCTTTTGACGAGTTTGCAGATGACACCCTTTACAAAATGATAGAAGATGGAAGAATGTTTGAAAGCGTGTATAAGAAAGCAAGGCTTTGCGAGGCTGAAGGATGCAATCAGTTCCATGATTTCATCAGTATTTTTGTTACCAAAGGCACAGAATTTTCAACAGCTGATTTTAAAACTAAAATATCTTTAGACTGGGAAATTATAAACCCTTTACCTATCACAATGAAAAGGTTTGTTGTCGAACAAAACAATTGGAATCCCATTCACCATGAAGAAATTGATTTCAAATTCAATGGTGACTTTGAAACGATTTCACAATTGCAAGAGAAACGTGATTTACAACTAAAGGGCTTCATTGAAAACAAACTTAGAGTTGACTGGAAGTCATTATCGGGCTATAACAAAGCCCGAACAGTTTGGGATGATCTTAGACTGAGGGAGTATGTCAGTGCCTTCACAAAGAACAAGCGGGGTGGATCCTTCCTGCTAGGAATTGGGGGAAAAGATAAGAGCAATGGTGTGTATAAGTCAAAAGATCTCATTGTACAAGGAGTGCCACTTGAGGACGAAAATGAGTTCAGAGGCTACCTCAAAGAACTTGTCCATGACGAGAGCCTGGTGTGTGACTTTAAGGGGCACACTGATCCTAAGTTGGACATAATGAACGTAAAATGCACCCTTGTACCCTCTGAATATGTGCATTTAAGTACTACACGTGGTTCGCAAACCAGGCAGTACTACATTGTCGAGGTACTGGTTCGCCCAATCAAAGGAGTAGCATTTTATGACAAACATGGGCCTGTATCATGCCGAATCATCAACAACATTTGTACCCCTGTTGATGTGAAAACATGGTTCGAAAAGATTGCCATGCCCACACAAACATCGTTTTGATGACTAACACAACTTGACAAGTTTCATTGATATAAAGACACAAAATAAATTTACATACATGTACATGTGTTGTCATTTTCACAATATGAAATTCCTGAGAATATTACCTGTTTGTTCATCAGACCACATAATTAAAAACCAAGTCTTTGTTTCAATAAGAAGCGATTGGTATTGTGTTTTTATTCCTCAGATTATGTAAACAACACCATGCATTACCTTTGACCTTACAACTAATACATCATTTGGTGTTAAAAAAAAGATTTCCCTTTGAATGCGCTTGTTTGTGATCATGTGTAAACCTGGGAAAAGTGGGTTATGTAAGAATATGCAGTGGGTGATCTTGTGTATATGTGTCAGATGTGGTGTGTAAGTTGCGGTACTTGGTATTCCTAAGTGTGGTTGGGAATACGCAGGTAAGTTAAGGGTATAGAAAGGGTAATCTTGTATATGGTTTGAGGTCGGTTTGGGTAGGTACATGTAAGGGTTTTAGTTGCTGAGTTGGGGTTTTGCACAAGACAATGAGTCAAAGTTATTGTGGTTTCCTGAAGGGTTATCTATGTCTTGGCTAAGACGATCAACATCACACCTGTTTCGACTGATAACTTCCTTCAACCATGTTGACAACCAAGATAACAGCATGGTGTCCCATATTGCAGACACATATCAAAATAACTCTGTCACATTGCCTTGGGCACTGTAAAAGTATGCTTAAGTATTGTGCGTAAACATTGATCAGCATGTCTCTTTATTCTACATATACACTGGACCAGTGATGTTTCCATTTACAAATAGCTGCAATGTGAACTTACGTACATGACTTTCATTCACAAAATATAACTGACAAATGCTGAATTTAGCATCGTATGCGCATACCTCGACACTAAACAAACTGAATATTTTGCATCACTCGTCCATAATGCATTCTCTTGTTGATGCGCAGGATACAAATGTATGATTGCTTTTGTCGTTCCACAAGGATATCTAACTCGTTCGGAATTATTTTCTTGTACAATCTTGTAAACATCTTAAACATATTTCATATTATCAAGATTGCAAACTGTTATTTTAAAAGTCAATAAATATTGGACTCCCACTGGTCACACTGATTTATTCTGTAACATGATGCATACACGGTCAGTTTTAGAAATGAAACTCTTTGCATAAATTCGTACATCTATTAGAGGCATTTAGAAGTTGGACTCAGTAAAGATACGTCATATGGAGGAACACTTTTTTATTACAAATTAGGAGCGACGTTTGGGTTTATTTTCTAACACTGCTATCAAGCAATCGATTACAGACTATGGTTGCGGAACTTATACAGATATGAGAACGTGTTCATCAAAGAATCAAGTCAGTCGTAATCGTTCTGTTTATACTACTGGTCTCATGTTATATCACCCTCATTGTCTACATAGCATGCTTTTGCACTCTATTGTCACCACACACCATCTACTCAAGTATATAAAAACTACCTCTTACATGTATATCTATTTCTCAACCATGCACGTCACTTGCTTGATAACGGTGTTAGAACCTACACCGAAACGTCGCTCCTAATTTTCAATAAAGAAGTAATGTTGTTAACCCATATAGCTTATCCTCACATGAATTCGTACTGTTGGGTTGGTAAATACCATCAGTATAGAACAAGAAGCAGGTTCAAGATGCAACTATACAAAAAAAGAAACAACTGACGTTCATGTACTCCTGTACGAAACACAATTTGTTAAATTACCAAGTCACTCCGAGGAAGTCCAAAATAAGGTATAGATGGTAATAACAGGCACACAGAACATCAACAGGTTGGTAATGATATAAATGGATATATTTTCTACACTTTCTTTCATACATATGTGAGACATCTAAACGCTATGCATAACACGTACTTACAAATTTCAGTAGTACATCAGTTTAATATTCTCACCGATGCACATTTTCAAATTTCATGTCCAAACACATGCTCTGTCTGATATCCCTCAACAGCAGTTATCGTCCTTGTCCAAAACTAAATCACTAAACCGCAAAGCGCCACATAATCAACAGTGACTTTCCTTCGTCTCTTTGTATCATTTAAAATAGAGTTGTGATAAGGGACACCCGTTTGTCAGCTTGCTGTTCGTCTCTGTTCTCACATCAATACACAAATTACTGTTCAATAATCAGAGCCCAAACATACATTATGTGTCAATTTAGTATCAGATTGCCGAATGTATTACATACATATACATGTATTTGGTTGCATCGTATGTAGCCTGCATATCAGTTCAACGTGTGTGAAGCACTTTGCTACTGTCGTATTACGTCGACAGATTTGAAACGGGTAGACACTACGACACACTGCTGCTGTTATAATGTATCGTTGTCGCTGAGCAGCCTTGCGTTACATGTACTGTGTGCGCTAAGGTACACTGCACTAATAGCCGTCTTTCATAACACATGGAGAGTGCCCACAGAGGCACAAACATCGCCTCAACACATATACTGACCACATTCAGACAGTGAGTACCTATTCTCTTCCTCAGTCAAATCTCTTTTCATTGTGTGTATATTATAGAGTGTATATTGTAGCTACAGTCGTTGTACATGCACGTGTGTGGTTATAAAAGGTGCATTTCATATCAACGGATATGTCACGGTTTGTGCACGTCATTATGTGTAGATTTTCCCGCCTAGCTATTGGTGTTATGTGACATTAAGATTTTACAACAATGAGTCACAAGTGATGTTATTATCCCCCGCCAAGAAGTGGGGCAGGGATTATGGGAACGGTGTTCGTTCTTCCATCCTTCCATCCTTCCGTCTGTCCTTTCGTCCGCTTTTCAAAGGAACCGCATTTTCTATTTAAGTTAGGGAAAGGAAATATTACTGGTCATGTTCCTAAATGAGTTCGAAAAAGGGTGTCTTAAATTATTTTCTTACAGAGTTGTGGCCCTCGCTCCCAGCTTTTCAACATAATTCATACTGCGTGAAATGGGGACAGGTTTCCTCAGAAACTACTGAAATTTCATGAATGTACTTATATTAGAGATACTTGTCTGTACTGATTTCGAAAATTGTTGCCAAAATTGTTTTTGTACAGAGTTATTGCCCTTGCTTCATGCTTTTCAACTTATTGTGTAGTGTCACAAATGTGGACAACGTTTCTCTGAAACTAAAGACGTCGCAAGAATAAAGCTTTGCGTGCTCAGCTAAGAGAAACTAGACCGAGTTCGTGAAATGGGATTATACATTATTATTCCCTGAGAAGGGGCCTTTTGTGAGTATTAATTTCACTTTTAATAAAACAAATTCTGATGAGATAAAGCTAGCCTAGTGCCTATCTCTTTTAAGGATTTTTAGTACACTTAACAAACAATATTCTTAAGTGCCCCGACGCGGGGGATAGTGATAACGCTGTTTTCTTGTTCTGAACGACGATCACCTTCCTTCTTCGCTTTCTCATTGTTGTATTGTGGGTACAGAGTGCAGTGCAAAAAGTCGAGATAGGATTTCGTTTAATATTACAAGCCGGTAAGCCGGGCGACTCATACAGATAGGATAACAAAGTATGTGCAGTCGTCACAGGTGGGTGGAAATGAATAAGTGAAACTTTGGGTATTTGCCAAACGTAAAGTAGATACCAGGCTAGACAAACCGTCCTGAAGCCTTTGCAGGGGGCACGGGTGGCGCAGTCGTCTAAGGCGCAGCGATGCGCTGTGCAGAGTTGCGTCCCCTGGACAGGCCAGAAACCCATGATTGTGGGTTCGAATCCCGGTTCACCCCGATTATGTTTCTAGGTTTGTCAGCACCATACCCGTGGTGGGTTTCACCGAAAAGGTAAACGTCTGAGACCTGCATCACTTCGGGCTTTCCTCCATCATTAAGCTGCCACGCCGTGATATAACTGGAATAATGTTAAAGGCGGCGTCAAACCAAACTCACTCACTTACTTTCCTGTTTATCTAATGGGCAATACAGGGCCTGCTTGTTATTGGCCAATATCATGTTAAAGCTGAGATTCATTTTTGGTTTGTTTATTAGAACGTAACTTGGGAAAAAGAACGAAAGAAAGTAGACACTGACAAGGATGATTTTAGTAGCCCAAACATCTGACAGTTTTATAAAGAAACAAATACATTTTATAGCATCAATTCGATTGTTCATCATGATTCGAAATGTAACACACTATTTTCAAGAAGGCTGTTTTGATGTAATCATTGTCAGAAATAATGATCACAAGATATTTTTAAGTAGCATCTCTGCATGCAACTATTTCCTTAAAGTGGAGTATATGAAATATGTTAATAATATAAGGTAGGTACACTACTGCCTAGAAGTCCATTACCCTTACACGAGTTCAGAAGGCGTGTAACACTCATGTGACTGAATAGTGAGGTAAACTAAACAATGAGATGTTAATCTTGACTTTATGAGTGGCTTTTGACCTGTGTTCACAGAGCATAAACAAAAGATATACAGTAGTAGTATTGGTAGTTATAGTACTCGTAGCCATAGTGAGTGATTGAGTGAGTTGAGTTTAACGCTGTTTTTAACAGTATTCCACTTACATCGCGGAGTGTCAGCTTAATCTGGGAGGAAAGCCCGAAGTGATGCAGGCCACTTCGGTGAAACCCACGAGCACGGGTATGGTATGAACCTAGAAACATAATCGGGGCGAACCGGGATTCGAACCCCCCAAAATAGGTTTCTGACGTGCCCAAGGGACGCAACTCTGCGGCGCCTTAGACGACTGCGCCACCCGTGCCCCCCCAGCAATAGTAGTCGTAGTTCCCGACATAAGCTAGTAGCAATTTGTGTAGTAGTAGTAGTAGTAGTAGTAGTAGTAGTAGTAGTAGTAGTAGTAGTAGTAGTGGCAACATGGACAAAAACAGCTCAAAAATAAAAATATTCCCTACATTATACGGTTGATGACACTCGATCTTCCCTTCTACGTAGATGGAAGGTGATGGTGACATGAATAGGTTCGATCCTCCGAGGGATTTGACTATGAACGCATTAACGTTCTCGCCTCGGACACTGTTGCTACATCTAGAATACAGAAACAGAAAGAAAATTTACTGGTTGTTCAATATCTCAAAGTTAAAGGATGTAAAACTGTACTTTTCACGTGACCTCCAAGTGACCAATAAACTGTATGTTTGTTTCGTTCCACTCTGTATTTTAATTGGACAACTTTAATAAACGGGTAGATCTCGACACGGACCTACCGTCGCATTGGTGAACAACACTTTAGAGATTGCTTGAGAGTTGTGGCTTAATTAACATTGGATTGTCAAGGGATATTGTTTTCAGATAGGCTTGAAATTTTCCGATGAAGGACCTCTATGTTAGTATTTAAAACACGTCATTACACAACGTCTATAGCCACAAACGTTCCAGATTTCAAACGAACCAAGCACCATAGTTGACTCATAAGGCGGCAAGAGAATAAAGCATGCCTTGTCTTAACTGACTACTGACATACAATTTGTTTGTTCGTTTGTTTGTTGTACATAATCGAGTCTGGACCAGACAATCCAGTGATTGACACGAGCATCGATCCATGCAGTTAAGGTGAGGTGAGGTGAAATTGGGTTTAACGTCGCGTCCAAGATTATTGCACTTATATAGCGACGTCATGCAGTTAAGATACTATGACATGCATCAATCAAGTCAGCGAGCCTGACCACCCGATCCCGTTAGTCGCCTCTTACGACAAGCATAGTCGCCTTTTAAGGCAAGCATGGGTTGCTGAAGACCTATTCTACCCCGGATCTTCACAGGTACTAACATACAAACAACGATTTCAAGAACATGCTGCGTGAATCGATGCTCATGTTGTCAATCACTGGATTGTCTGGTCCAGACTCGATTATTTACAGACCGCCGTCATATATCTGGAATATTGCTGAGTGCGGCGTTAAACAACAAACCAAACCAAACCAAACCAAAACCTTTTACGACAAGCATAGTCGCCTTTTAAGGCAAGCATGGGTTGCTGAAGACCTATTCTACCCCGGATCTTCACAGGTACTAACATACAAACAACGATTTCAAGAACATGCTGTGTGCTTACTAAAGTCAAAACAGACCGTGTTATAGCTAAATATTGAAATTATAATTATTATCTTAACCTTTTTCAGGTCCCAAATGTTCATGGTAATACTAAATATATGTAACTCTTGATTATTTCTTTTTCAGATGTCACTCCTTACAGGCGAAAAACTTAAACACATTGGTGAAAAACGTAAAGATGGAGAGGGGGAAATTGGACAAGTCAAGTATGAATCATTGTACACACATCTCTCTTATCATAATGGTGTCTATTTTAATCACAGGCGAATCTGTAAATGCTAAAGATGAATTGTAACGATGCTTTAAACAGCAGTGAAAAGAGCACGCAGAGGAGTGTCTGAAATGTTTTGAGCTTAACCACAAGGGATGTAAAATACATCCTGTGTCAATTTTCTTCATCTTTCACTTAAAACACGGTTACGGTAATGCAGTTATGTCATGCTTAACTCAATCACTAGTAGACATGACTTGGTGGAAATATATTTCCTTTTCTGCAAATCACAATGACAGCCTATATATTACATCGATGTAACCTGTCATCATCAGCATCATCATCGTCATCAAAACATCAATATTGTCATGACATAGATTATGGTTTCCTATATTGCACCCTTATTTCTTCTTCTTCAGGACAAGAAAATTTGACACCCAAAACTTTGCATTGGCCCCATCTGAGCTTAAGGTAGGTTTTGATCCTTAGGATACTCTGATTACAAATATCATTCATACCTTATAGTGTGCTTAATTATATCAGTTGTTTTACACATGTAGTTGCGGTGTTGTGGCCAGTTTTTAGTGTGACTGATGTTGTGAATGTGTAGTCTGTTGGTGACATCAATACTGGTCGTTACTGAAACACACTGATAAAGTTTATCCGGAGTTGTTATGAAAGCTTTATTCGTGCTACAGAAACATTTTCACAAATGTGTACACGTTACTGCACGCATGTATAGGTGTAAATGATTAATTGTACATGTTTTCAGACAAGGATCTGCCCGGAACAAAATCACAAATTCACCATTCAAACAAGAGACTTTTTTCTACCACCACTACAACAGATAGGAGACAGTATTAAAGACATACAAGAGTTCTACTGCCCTGGAGGTATATTCTCTTTTTCTTCGAAGAACATAATTTCAAAAAATGTTTTTGATTCATGTTCTCCTACAATCTCCTGATTGCAAAATGCACAGTAAGTTATCAATATATATGTATCCAGATATTTTCTATTATTAAGACAACGTGGCATATCCCTCGACACAAACACATAAATATAGAGCTAATGTATCTGACATAGATGTCATATGTAAAGCCCTAGTCCTGAGGGTTATAATTATTAATAAGGATTACTGAGAAACTTCAAATGTTTCTTCAAAGAGGAAAATATCCTGTCATGTCACAAAATAGTTTGCTAGAACCAACACTTCATCAAGGAACAGACGGTTTCATCTTCATTGCACAGACATTGTGTTTTCCCTTAAATATCCCATGCAGTGAATTACGGTCTGATAGTTACTGCGATATTGTCCTGATGTTGCTATTGTAAACTAGTTATATCATTATAATTAATGATTTATACTTACAGGTAAAATTAACGTTGTGCCTCAAAAGCTACCCCTCAAACTCAAAGGGATTACTGAGAAACTTCAACCTTTGCTTCAAAAAGGAAAATATTCTGTCATGTCACAAAACAGTTTGCTGAAACAAACTGCTGGCCCAACAGTTCATCAAGGAACAGATGGCTTTGTCTTCATCGCACAAACATTGTGCTTTCCCTTAAATATTGCGTGCAGTGAATTACCATCTGATATTCACTGCGATATTGTCCTGATGTTACCTTCTCAACCAGCATTTGTACTGACTTTAGTGGATAAGGACACACCAGAAGCAAGGAAATACAACGTCAGTGTTGCTAGAGGGATGACAACCTCCCTCAATAAGTTCATTGATGATGACTTTTCAGCAGTGTTTGGTGTCGTGTGCATGTCACATCTAGACTCCCGAGACACATTCCAGTCCCATTTAAAGACACTTGTAGAATCATGTAGCAAGTTTGTTACGCTTGACTCCCTTTATATGTCAGAAAGGAAATATTTTAAACTCATCACTTCCTTTTGGGCTGCGGTTGCAAAGATAGAGCCTGGAGATCAGTTTCCCGACACTGACGTGATTAATTTCTTGACAAGAGAACAGTGCACAGTGTTGGTAGAAAATATGAATTGCAACTATGTTTTTGTGTCAACTCTTCCAAAAAGTGGTGGGACTACTCTGATGTTGGAAGTGACCAGAAGACTTCAGAATTTTCTACCAACGCATCTCATTGTCAAATCAGAGAACGACATTTCCAAATACAGGTTAGCAGATCATTTCTCTTTTTACAGTAATGTTAAAATGAATGTACTTTTTATAGTCATTATCATGTGTGACTGGGTGTGCGTGTGTGCGAGGCGTGTGTACGTGCGATGCGTTCGTGCGCGCGTGCTTGATCGTATGTGTGTGTCTCGTTGTATGTCTAAGTGTTCGGCGCTCTCTCTCTCTCAACTTACATCGATTGACTTTAGGAAATGCAACTAACGTGGAATTATCCAGTCTTAAGAATAATAATGTCATTTTGTTACTTTTGAAAATTAATTCTTCCCCATGACTAACAACAAACTAACATGTTTTCATGTACCTTGACAACTAACTCTTGTCACAAAGAAAGAGTTTGTGTGTGAGGAATGTGTATTGAACAAAGTGACTTTCCACGTAATCACCATCAAATGAGCATCAATTGTGAACACACTTATTTAGTTTCAGAGGAGATTACCAATTGTGTGAAGAACAAACAGTTGATGAACTGACTTATTAATAGCTGTGTGTATTATATTTGCAAGTGTTTTGACATTTCATTAAACGTCAAGACAACCCTTTTCAACAAAAATGAAAGTTTGGTGAGAACTATTGGGTTTTAATACTGCTCCTCATATAGTAGATTTGTTTCAGAAATCTATGTGAGAGGGTTTCAACGACCTTGCAGCCTGAATGTCCTGCAAATATGACACTGGAATGGAACAGCAGCATACGTAGGTGCGAGACAGCAGTTGTCACAGAAACAATTCTGCCTTTCCACGAGGGCCAAGACCAAACCACGAAAATCATATGGACCTTCTGTTCAGGTATATTGAAAAATACATTTCGCAGAAATTAGAACTGTATCAGGCTGATTGAGAAGTCCTTGTAGAAAACATACAAATGTTCCAATAAATAACCAATGGCATGTTCTTCAGATTAACAAAAATACAAACTTGAAACAAAGGGATCATTTTGCATAAAATTATGCCTCATCACATTGTGTCATGTCTTAAACGATTGATTCATAGCTAATTTCACAACTGCGGCCTGTTAAAGTTTAAGGAAAGCAGTAGCACCTGCATTTGTCATGCACTGTGATTGTAAACTTCAAATAGAAAATGTGTGCTCAAGCATTGCCTATATAGATATATCACATCTGGAATATTTATGATGGTCTCTTTCTACATACCACAGAGTTCATCAGACCACGAATTATGGATGACATACTTGCCCTCTTTGAATCACATCGGCATGTACTTCTTGTCGGATCAGCAGGTGAGGGAAAGACAGTCATAGGCATTCTTCTTCTGGAACACTACAGATCAAAAGGAATACGAGTAGTACATGCGACCAGTGCCGTGGAGATGAAAAGCGCTATTCAAAACTCTGAAGAAACGTTTGTCCTTTGTGATGACGTGTTTGGGAGGTTCAGGTGCACATTTACGTTAACACCCGATTTGGAAAACATGTTCAGTCGGCTTCAAACTAAGACTAACATTAAAACGTTATTCACTAGTAGATGTGATGTTTACGCAGACGCACTCTTGCGTTTAGGGAAGCTTCAGTCACATTTTGCAGGTTCCAGGGAAGTGAATCTCACCGAGAAAACTGTGACAAGTGAGAAGACTAAAATGTTAGACAGATACTTAGAAGCCACAAACATGCATATTTCTGATGTGGAAAAACACAGCATAATCTGGAAGCGAAATATTCATGGATTTGCACACTCATGTCAGATGTTCGTCACTTTAGGAAAGGAGAACACAAACGCCGAACAGTTCTTTGACAATCCGTTGTATTTTGCTGGAGAAAGAATTCAACATCTTTTGAAGAATTCGATCATGAAGTGCCTCCTATATCTCTTAACAGCATTCAAAGGCACACTTGATTTGAAAGATCCTACCAATGATTCAAATGAAAAACAGCGGATGGTAATGGGTCGTGTCAGCTTCAGGGAAACATCTATGTCTGAGGTTTTCACCGCTGCCACAGAGGAACCATACTTGTTTACAACGGAAGGTTGTGTAAAGTTTTCTCATCCATCTTTTCTTGAAGTAACGTCAAACATCATAGCAGAATCTGACACTGAGTTCATCATAAAGTATGGACCCCTTGAACTATTTGAAAAGGCAAGAAATATGAGAGAACAAAAATACAGCATCAGTATTTCTGAAGACAGTCATTTCATTAAACTAGCAGAACGGTTTTCACAGGAAATAAAACTTGGTTTATTTGAAAGCTGCTGCCCACATCAACTGCTACGAATTCAAAGCTTTGTTGATCAAGTTATGTGTCGACTCCCAACATCCACAGATCACTTAGCCATCGATAAACTATTGTACTGGGCATCTAGCAATGGTTCAGATGTGATGATGAAAGCGTTGTTCCAGAAGTACCCAATGACACGGGAAATGTATCATCATGCAGTTGTGGGCTGCAGCAGATGGGGCAATCATTCTGCACTGGAGTTCATTGTTACCACTTTGAAACTGACTTCACGGGACATTGGGGAAATCACTGAAGAGGGGTTGTCATGCTTAATTATAGCAGCCAATCAGAATCACATTGAAGTGTGTAAAGTTCTGATCAAACACCAAGTGGATGTATCCACCACAGATCCACGCATGGGGGCAAATGCACTTCATTGGGCTGCTGCAGCTGGTCACCTTGAGGTTGTGAATCTGCTGTCAAACCACATATCAATTGAACGTGAAAGCAATGGGGGAGTTACACCTTTGTTTGTGGCTGCAGAAAATGGGCACATGAAAGTATTTAAACTTTTGCTTGAGAAGGGTGCTGCTATGAATACACAAATTAAAAGCAGAATTGTGTCATTAACAAATCCCAGAAACGAAGGCCGTGCATTGGTTAAGCAGCTTAATGTATCAGATGAAGGTTTTACTCCTCTTCATGTGGCAACTTATGAAGGAAATTATGACATTGTAAACCTTCTGATAACTGAAGGGGCTGACGTCAACTTGAAGGCTGAATTGGGACCTCCAGTAGCTTTTGCTGCAAAAGCAAATGAATTGTGTATCTTTCGGCTGTTCCTTAATGATGTGAGAGTAGATTCCAGTGACGTTATCACTGCAGCATATGGATATGGCCGTACTGAAATGCTGAAAGAGGTTGTTCTCCATAAACGGTCAGAAACTAATGCTATTATAATAGCAACTTTGCAGGGAGAGCTGGAAACTGTGAAGCAATTGCTTGAGGACAATGAGAAAAGTTTAACCTCAAATGTCGAAGGATATACACTTCTCCATCTAGCAGCAACTTTAAACCATGAAGACATTGTGGACGAACTTCTTCAAAGAAGGATCGAAGTGAACAAATCTTCTGAAGGCGGATTCACAGCCTTACATGGGGCATCTATTACTGGCGCTTCTTCAGTCGTTGAAAAGCTGATCAGTAGGGGGGCAGATGTTGACCAGCTTGCGAATGGTTTCAGTCCTCTTCACTTTGCGTCAATGTATGGACAGACAAATGTAGCAAGGGTTTTGATACAACATCAAGCAGATATTCAGATGAAAGGTTATCATCAGTGGAGCCCACTTCATGTGGCAAGTATCCACAACCAACCCGACATTGTACAGCTTTTACTGAAACACAATGCCGACAAAGAAGCTTTATCAGAAGACCTCTCAACACCCCTTCTATTTGCTTCATATCTGAACAATATGAAGATAGTAGATATATTGTTAGCTTGTGGAGCTGACTTAAATCCAAGAGGCATGTCATATCACCCTCTTCTAGGTGTTGCTCTACTGGGGCATCCTGAGGCTGCGAATAATTTATTTCAGAGAGGTGCAAGTGTAAATCATGTAAGTGCAGTTGGAGTAAGCGCCTTACACGGAGCTGCTTACATGGGAGCAATGGATGTCCTAAAATGTCTTCTTGAGAATCATGCAAATCCAAACCTGAAACTCTTCGAAGGGATATCACCAAAGGAGAAATCTATCATAACAATGCATGTGGAGAAATGGTGCAAAAGCACACCTGGGAAGGATATCAATTTGAGAAGATATGATGGTGGTTCTGCGCTCCATGTGGCTGTCGATATGGGTTACACCGACATGGTGCGACTTTTGTTGAAATCAGACGCTGATCGCAATCTCAGGAACTTGAACAATGAAACTGCTGTGGATATTGCGAGAGAGAAGGAGTTCAGTGACATTGTGAGACTCTTAGAATCGTCCTAGACTAACTGTGACTGCCATCAAATGAATAATGGATAAAGCAACATTAATACTGGCCACTTGAACATAAAGCTGTCATGATGTTTGATTTTATGACTTGGTGTTATGCCAATTGTACTGTGGAGAATATTATAAATTCTTATCCTGTAAATGTATAACTATCTTTCTGTTTCCCAAAACGTTGTAATTTTAAACTTCTCTTTCAATTGTGGAACATCAGGTCATTTAAAGCATTTCAATGTGTATAAATGATGTCACCACTGTAGATAATCATAGGTACTTACGGCTGTGTACGTTGACACTATTCATGTCAAAATACTTTTAATCTTATCATATGTAGTAGATTTCTGTAAACGTGGTATTATGTTTGTATGACACAACGTTTATATGTATACGTCGTCGTAGTTTTCCTGCATATCAAAGAATTATTCAGAAATGTTGATATGTATGGCAGGTGAGTCACCTCCTCGCCATCAAGATTGAGTGAAGTGACAACGAAGTTTGCTTCTTGGGTAGTCATATTCGTACTCCTGGCACAAGAAAATGAAACTAGAAAAGGTCAAAAAACTACCCTGTGTCAAACGCACAGTTTTCAACTTAAGTTACATAATGTATGTTTGGGCACATATTTTATAAATGCGGGGATGTGTACCTGCGTCTTCTGTAAAACCCATATCGACTCATGAAATTTGCACAGTTAATGACATCGGGTATCTTGCCCGTTACAAACAGATCACTGCCTTTGCACTTGTTGAGGAATATTTACACTACATCCGAAATATCAACAACGAACGCGTTTCTAATACATTGTGTACAAGGTACTCTTTCTTGAAGTTATGGGCGAACCACACGTGTAACATATAACTAAGAAATTTATTAATGCTCCATTCTTTCAGATAATATTTTACTGGTGCTTGAGGCATCCACCTTAGCACTATCGTAACATTAAGTATGTTTGAAATGTGTTTAATGACTGTAGAAAACTGTAACAGATCCTTAGACAAAAGATCTGACAAACTTTTCAACCGTTTTGGTGTAAACGGAATATCAAATGAGAGTTAGAGTGTTAAACGAAAGGTGTGTTTACTACAAGATATTCTAGTTAATGAAGGTAAGGTTACATTGTTTACAGGTGCGCGGGATAACAACATTAAACAGTATAATAGCAACAAGCGCAGAACATTTTCAAGTTTGATAATTCTTTAACAACCTATGTACAGCGGATCGTGAGGCGTGATGAACGAAGCTATATTATCCAAATTCAGATGTGCCTCTTTACCCATATCAGTAAAGACTGGTCGGTATGCAAAGCCTCCCCAACCATGAGAAGATAGACAACTCAAAGACCTTACATTTTTGGAAGATGAAACCTACTTTCTCATTACCTGTGACTTTTATTCTGTCAGCGTTGTAATCTACTAGAAAAGGCAAAGGAATTTAACCCTGAATCATGCAGCAAGATCGTCATTGATAATAAGGTGGTGTCTGCTTGGAGATAAGATGCATGTGTTCTTAACACAATGTTGGAGTTTTGATTTGATCAGTTAACTGGATACTACATAATTATTATGGATATTCGTTAGTGAGTGAGTGAGTTGGGTTTAACACCGCTTTTAACAGCGTTCCAGTCATATCGCGGCGTGTCAGCTTAATGTGAGAGGAAAGTCCGAAGTGATGCAGGTCTCAGACGTTTACCACTTCGGTGAAACCCGGGTATGGTGCTGACAAACCTAGAAACATAATTGGGGCGAACCGGGATTCGAACCCACAATCATAGGTTTCTGGCGTGTCCAAGGGACGCAACTCTGAACAGCGAATCGCGGCGCCTTAGACGACTGGGCCATCCGTGCCCCCTTATTTACATATCCTGTGTCATAGGCCACGTTGCCTCTTGAACGCTGCTGCTAACTGTTGATTTCACTGCTAGTCACAGTATCATGTATGAGTAGTGAGTGTGTGATAAGCACGTGTTAATTAGTGTATTATATTTATTATTAGTGCCATATGTGGAATAATAAACGGACATCATATTTCTTGTTATTTTTATTTTATTTTATTTTCCTTCTTTGTATTATGTTTTTCGAATTTTGTATGTTTCTATAAACAGTGATTTGGTTGTTAGCTAATCCCGTCCATACTGTACACTACTCACGCATGACCGTGTAATATGGAGAATGAATATTTGAGTTAGGCGCGGCATTGTTGACCAAGGAGTGGTAGGTCCAAGAATCGGCCACAGTTGTATACCCACTACAGTTCGTGACAGTTCGTGCATTTTCGAAATGGGTCCATGATACCAACATATTCATTGAAGTGGTGCGTTTTGGCCATTCGGTTTTTATGTTGCGTTTTTACTCGGGGCTTCCAAAATGCAACCAAAAATATTGATAACACCATCAGGCTTCACTACGTGCTAAAACTCGTATCAATTTATGGTTCCGCGTTTGTTCTCTATTTGCTTAAAACCACTTGCGTTTCTTTTGCGTGTGAGTATATGTAAACTTACAACGTATGATGTGTATGACTCTTTGTGGCAGTTAAAGAGTACCCTTATCAGACATAGACAATGTATCAGCTCAGCAGTGAAAAAAGGCACAGGCCATATATCATAGCCTCCCTTTATACTCAAGAAATGTCTTCAATAATCACATTATTTTTGCTCAATGCTGTTAATACTCACACGTGTAGCTCTTGAACAAAAAAGTAAAGCACACGAATGTAAACCACATGAAATATGAAAATGACCGTGTGTTACAGTAATCTGGATCATAAGGCGTGTTGCGACAATTGACTATCTACCATAAATGCGATCAAACTCTAAATATGTTGCTATTGTTGCATGCAGCTGCGATAAGGAAAAAAACAAGGTCGATATGCCGACCACGACAACCATACTAGTATACCAGTATAGTATATATAAAGCTAGTTATTTGTTGCTTACCGCTGCACTCAGCAACATCCAAGCTATATGACGACATGAATACACAATGCCATTTAGAAAGTGTTCAAATGTAACAAATGTTATATTTAGGATAACACGTTCTTAGTAAAGTACAGATTATCGTACGTTTTTGGGGGTTGCGTCCCGCTTTCGGTCATGATAGCCGTGCCAATTTACACTTGTCAAAGGGGTACTCAAAGTACGTGGTCTAGACTACAGTTGTCGGACTTCCATTTTTGTGGAAGCCTATGTGGCTGAGTGGGTTAGATCGCTGACTTTGTGTGCTGGCGATTAGGTGCCTCACTCTGGCAGTGTGGGTTCGAATCCCGGGCGGGACTCAACCCCCCAAAAGAACGAGAATATGTACTTTACTAAGAAAGTGCTATCCAAAGTATAACATATATGACGACAGCATGAAATAAACGTGTCTGGACCCGACGGTCCAGTGATATATACCATGTGCAACGATCTACACCATTTTGGTAGGTTGACATGTTGTCGCCTAAGTAGCGTATCAATGAAGCCACTCTTACGACCAACATATGTTACTGGGGACCAATTCCAAACTACATCATTCTATATATATATATATATGTTTTTTAATGTGTCGTCAAAGGTTTGCAATAGATATATACATGTACCAAATTTCAGGTGAACCTACCTACACATACAAAACGCGCATAGTATGTGGTTCAATATATGCAGTGCCCTGTTCAGGCAACAGGAACAATCATGAGGAACAATCTTTTCATGCAATCAAGAACTAGACTTCTTTTAGGAGCATTTAGAATTTCGAGTCCTAAGTAAGGATAATATATATAGATGAACAACTTCTTTATTACAATTACGCGCGAAATGTCTGTGTAGGTTTTAACACAATTAACAAGCAAATGATGTCCAGAATATGGCTGACAAGCATATATACAGATTAGTGTTAATAGATGGTGGTGTAGTGAGTGAGTTGGGTTTAGCGCCGCTTTTAACAGTATTTCAGTTATATCACGGCGTGTCGGCTTAATGTGGGAGGGAAGCCTGAAGTGATGCAGGTCTCAGACGTTTACCACTTCGGTGAAACCCACGAGCACGGGAATGGTGCTGACAAACCTAGAAACATAATCGGGGCGAACCGGGGTTCGAACCCACAATCATAGGTTTCTGGCGTGCCCAAGGGACGCAACTCTGCAAAGCGAATCGCGGCGCCTTAGACGACTCGGCCACCCGTGCCCCCAGATAGGGGTGTAGTACAATAGAGTGGACTAGCGTGTTATGAACACAATGCGGGTGATTTAAGGAACAACCAAACAGTTGAAGCCAGTAGCGTAAACAAAAGAAGTATGACAGATCGGACAATGACCCCAGATCTTCAATGGATCACCTCGACTCCCAAATCCATGTTGGCAGTTCACCATGGAAGAAGAATCTAATCGCCAACTACCCATCCTTGAGGTACTTGTACAGAAACCAATATTACAAGCTTCAGACGACTGTTTACGGCAAACTAACCCACACAGAACAGTGTCTCTAACCATTCATCTCAAGTCAAGAAAGGAATCATCTTAACCCTAGCAAGACGAGATCATAATGTTAAACAAACATCTAAGATGAGTTTCCAAAGTTAACTCCAAGTCAGCTCTATCAGACCACATCCGTGACAACCCATCAACAGCATCCAGTGGGATAAATCAAAACCCTTCCAAGCAACCTTACAAACTTCAAAAACAGCAAGAGGTAATCAACATCAATCAATCATAAAAACAGTGATCAAGGCTATGCTTGCCGTTAAAGGCGACTATGCTAGTCGTAAGAGGCGACTAACGGGATCGGGTGGTCAGGCTCGCTCACTTGGTTGATGCATGTCATCTGCCCCAATTGCGTGGATCGATGATCATGTTGTCAATCACTGGATTGTCTGGTCCAGACTCGATTATTTACATGTACAGACCGCCGTGATATAGCTGGAATATTGCCGAGTGCGGCGTTAAACAACAAACCAAACCAAACCAAACCAAAACCTTTCACGACAAGCATAGTCACCTTTTACGGCAAGCATGGGTTGCTGAAGACCTATTCTACCCCGGAATCTTCACGGGAAATATTCATAATCAATGACCATGTGACCATCACGTCACATAAACCCGGCACGTCGAGTGAGAAGCCGTCTGTGATCAGCTGAAGGTACACACCGGAAAATACAGTTATTCATCATGAACAAGGTAATTATGCAACACCGATTATTGACCAATGACGAAGAAATAATTTGGTTGGGACGGTCATTGTTTAACAAATATTGTTATGAGAGTGGACATGTACTGCGTAGCAGTGTACATTTTTCGTGTGGACATTTTGCATTGTCATTTTCCTTTGTGTAAATCAGTTTGTGGTCGACGACAGCATTCATCTTCTGTGTTGTTACATTCATGTTCTTTGTTTTTATATCGAAATATAAAACAAAAATTCCAAAGTTATCTTTAACAATCTTAAGGGCAACATTATTAAATTGCATTATTGCATTATTAAATCAACTTATACTTTCTACAGTGATTGATAATAAGGTAAAGATTGTATCTGCAAAGTGTAAAGGGCTTCCTGAAAAAAAACCGTAAAGAAATATTGAAAATATGTCTAAAAAAGACATACTCTATCATCTGTCTTCAAGCTATTCACATTTCAAAATATGAAAACAAAATCGAAAGAAAATACATGGGGGTTACAAGGCATTATAGCACCTTTTAAATCTAATTCCATGGGTGTTCTATCCCATTTAACAACAATATTGATATATATCCACAAAAGTATAGTTGATAAAAAAGGCAATCATATTTTTCTGATATTACAGTAGACGGAATAAAAGTTACTCTTACAAACCTACGCATACAGTTCAAATAAGGACCAGCAATCATTTTATGCCAATTCGCTTAAGGATATTGATAAATTCGAAAATGAATTTATTATCATCTCTGGTGACTTCAATTGGCTTAACCCATCAGTAGATTTGGAAAATTACAAAAAATGTAAACAGCCCTAATGCAAGAAACACTGTTTTAGAAAATAAAGAACATTTTGATTTAGTAGATGTATTGAGAGAACAAAATGCAGAAAGTAAAACATTTACATGATGGAAAACAATCCAAGGCAGCAAGCAAGGCTTGATTTCTTTTTAGTTTCACAAAGTATATATAATCTGTCATATAATACAGGCATTGTACCTAGTTAATAATCTGACCATTCCCCTATCACATTAACAATCTCAAATGCATTAAGTAAGGAAAGAAGCCTAAGTTATTGGAAAGTTAATATTTCACTGATACGTAACGAAGAGTACATTTAAATAGTTAAAAACACATAAATGGAAATATTACATGAATATGCAGACACAATATACTCTGAGGAAGAAATATACCAACATATTGAACATGCAACACTGAATCAGATCATATCTTTGTTTCTTAAAACCTTCTTAATGAATTTAAGGGGTAAAACCATTTCTTTTTTTATCATTTATTGATAGAAAGATTAAATGAGTAACAGACAAAATATCAGTTCTTGAAGAAACTGTCATAAAAGACTTTCAAAAGAAAAACCGAATCAATATCTACCGATTTATCAACTAATCAAAGGCAATCACAAAAATACATGAAGAAGAAGTATAAGGAATTCAATTAGAAATAGAATACGATGGTACGAGGAAGGAGAAAAACCAAATAGTTATTTTTGCCATTTAGAAAATCGAAATTACTCAAGTAAGCTTATTGATAGTATCCTAAATGAAAATCGGGATAAAGTAACAGATGGCAGATATATCCTAGAAGAGTAAAAATATTTCTACAAAAATCTGTACAAGAAAACAAACAATGAAAGCAACTGACTTCTTCTCTCTGTACACAGTCATGAAGCGTGAATAAAATATTTTATCCATGTACAATCACTCTCTACTTCAAACAATGTAAGGGGGCACGGGTGGCCCAGTCTGTGCAGAGTTGCGTCCCTTGGACACGCCAGAAACCAATGATTGTGGGCTCACTCACTCACTCACTCACTCACTCACTCACTCACTCACATGGATACATGTCTTCCATTAATAGTATTTTATTATGGCTTTTACCTCGATTGTAAATGTACTTGCCCGCTACATATATTTGATAACATGTACTTGGAAATGGAATAAAATCTATTTTTTTTAAATAGAAAAAGAAACAAAATCCCTACATGGATAAAACATGTTTCCCATTTGGTGTCTCACGTGTGACGTTGCTGTAACATTTCTAAACATGAAAGCTGTGCTTTTGTCATAGGATAACTTCTTTACCTTACATTTTCTTTCATGTTCTTGTGTCAGCATTACGAATGTGACTTCACTCAATCTCGATCCTGAGGAGGAGACTCACCTTCGATACAAATAACAGTACACCACCATATAAGATTAAAGTGAGTGTGTATGGTCTTACGCCGCTTTTAGCAATATCCCGGCAATATCACGGCGGGAAACACCAGAAATGGGCTTCAAACATTGTACCTATGTTGGGATTCGAACCCGGGTCTTCGCCGTGACGACCGAACGCTTTAACCACTAGGCTACCCGACCGCCCCATATAAGATTAAAAGTATCTTGACATGAATAGTGGCAACCGCACAACCGTATGTACCTATGATGATGTACAGTGGTCACAATTTCATTACACTTGAAATACTTTACATGACAGGATATGTCTGGCTAGAGCAGTCACAATTGAAAGAGGACTGTAAAATTACAACATGGTGGGAAACAGAAATATGTTTATATATATACAGGATAAGAGTTTATAATATACTCAACTGTACAAATGGCATACCACCTTGTCACAAAATAATTTACCCATGGTAAAAGTCTACCTGTTTGTGTATTGACTGTGTAACCTAGGCTGATGGATTCTATAAGCAATGCTGCAACATATCAAGGCAGCTTTATGTTCATGAACTGGACAGTGTTCATGGTGTATCCATTATTCATTAAAACACTAGCTCGTTACATTGAATGTGTAACTTTTGCTAATCGATTGTGAAAGCAGTGCTGCCAAATATAATGACAGTGGCCAGTGCTAATGTTGCTATATCCATTATTCATTTGATAGCAGTCACAGTTAGTCTAGGACGATTCTAAGAGTCTCACAATGTCACTGAATTCCTTCTCTCTCGCAATATCCACAGCAGTTTCATTGTTCAAGTTCCTGAGATTGAGATTAGCGTCTGATTTCAACAAAAGTCGCACCATGTCGGTGTAACCCATATCGACAGCCACATGGAGCGCAGAACCACCATCATATCTTCTCAAATTGATATTCTTACCAGGTGTGCTTTTGCACCATTTCTCAACATGCTTTGTTATGATAGATTTCTCCTTTGGTGATATCCCTTCGAAGAGTTTCAGGTTTGGATTTGCATGATTCTCAAGAAGACATTTCAGGACATCCATTGCCCCCATGTACGCAGCTCCATGTAAGGCGCTTACCCCAACTGCACTTACATGATTTACCCTTGCACCTCTCTGAAATAAATTATTCGCAGCCTCAGGATGCCCCAGGAGAGCAATACCTAGAAGTGGGTGATATGACATGTCTCTTGGATGTAAGTCAGCTCCATGAGCTAACAATATATCTACTATCTTCATATTGTTCAAATATGAAGCAAATACAAGGGCTGTTGACAGGTCTTCTGATAAAGCTTCTATGTCAGCATTGTGTTCCAGTAAAAGCAGTACAATGTCGGGTTGGTTGTGGATACTTGCTACATGAAGTGGGCTCCACTGATGATAACCTTTCATCTGAATATCCGCTTGATGTTGTATCAAGACCCTTGCTACATTTGTCTGTCCATACATTGATGCAAAATGAAGAGGACTGAAAGCATTCGCAAGTCGAGCAACATCTGCTCCCCTATTGATGAGCTTTTCAACGACTGAAGAAGCGCCAGTAATAGATGCCCCATGTAAAGCTGTGAATCCACCTTCAGAAGATTTGTTCACTTCGATCCTTCTTTGTAGGAGCTCGTCCACAATGTCTTCATGGCTTAAAGTTGCTGCTAGATGGAGAAGTGTATATCCTTCGACATTTGAGGTTAAACTTTTTTCATTTTCCTCAAGCAAATGCTTCACAGTCTCCAGCTCTCCCTGCAAAGTTCCTATTATAATAGCATTAGCATGTGACCGTTTATGGAGAACAACCTCTTTCAGCATTTCAGTACGGCCATATTCATATGCTGCAGTAATAACGTCACTGAAATTTACTCTCACATCATTTAGGAACAGACGAAAGATACCCAATTCATTTGCTTTTGCAGCAAAAGCGACAGGAGGTCCCAATTGAGCCTTCAAGGTGACGTCAGCTCCTTCAGTTATCAGGAGGTTTACAATGTCATAATTTCCTTCATAACTTGCCACATGAAGAGGAGTAAAACCTTCATCTGATACATTAAGCTGCTTAACCGATGCACGGCCTTCGTTTCTGGGATTTGTTAATGAGACAATTCTGCTTTTAATTTGTTTATTCATAGCAGCACCCTTCTCAAGTAAAAGTTTAAACACTTTCATGTGCCCATTTTCTGCAGCCACAAACAAAGGTGTAACTCCCCCATTGCTTTCACGTTCAATTGATATGTGGTTTGACAGCAGATTCACAACCTCAAGGTGACCAGCTGCAGCAGCCCAATGAAGTGCATTTGCCCCCATGCGTGGATCTGTGGTGGATACATCCACTTGGTGTTTGATCAGAACTTTACACACTTCAATGTGATTCTGATTGGCTGCTATAATTAAGCATGACAACCCCTCTTCAGTGATTTCCCCAATGTCCCGTGAAGTCAGTTTCAAAGTGGTAACAATGAACTCCAGTGCAGAATGATTGCCCCATCTGCTGCAGCCCACAACTGCATGATGATACATTTCCCCTGTCATTGGGTACTTCTGGAACAACGCTTTCATCATCACATCTGAACCATTGCTAGATGCCCAGTACAATAGTTTATCGATGGCTAAGTGATCTGTGGATGTTGGGAGTTGACACATAACTTGATCTACAAAGCTTTGACTTTGTAGCAGTTGATGTGGGCAGCAGCTTTCATATAAACCAAGTTTTATTTCCTGTGAAAACCGTTCTGCTAGTTTGATGAAATGACTGTCTTCAGACAAACTGATGCTGTATTTTTGTTCTCTCATATTTCTTGCCTTTTCAAACAGTTCAAGGGGTCCATACTTTATGATGAACTCAGTGTCAGATTCTGCTATGATGTTTGACGTTACTTCAAGAAAAGATGGATGAGAAAACTTTACACAACCTTCTGTTGTAAACAAGTATGGTTCCTCTGCGGCAGCGGTAAGAACCTCAGACAAAGATGTTTCTCTGTAACTGACATACCTCATTACCATCTGCCGTTTTTCATTTGAATCAATGGTAAGATCTTTCAAATCAAGTGTGCCTTTGAATGCTGTTAAGAGATATAGGAGGCACTTCATGATCGAATTCTTCAAAAGATGTTGAATTCTTTCTCCAGCAAAATACAACGGATTGTCAAAGAACTGTTTGGCGTTTGTGTTCTCCTTTCCTAACGTGGCGAACAACTGACATGAGTGTGCAAATCCATGATTATTTCGCTTCAAGATAATGATGTGTTTTTCCACATCAGGAATATGCCTGTTTGTGGCTTCTAAGTATCTGTCTAACATTTTGGTCTTTTCACTTGTCACAGTTTTCTCGGTAAGATTCACTTCCCTGGAACCTGCAAAATGTGACTGAAGCTTCCCTAAACGCTGAAGTGCGTCTTCGTAAACATCACATCTACTAGTGAATAACGTTTTAATGTTTGTCTTAGTTTGAAGCCTACTGAACATGTTTTCCAAATCGGGTGTTAACGTAAATGTGCACCTGAACCTCCCAAACACGTCATCACAAAGGATAAACGTTTCTTCAGAGTTTTGAATAGCGCTTTTCATTTCCATGGCACTGGTCGCATGTACTACTCGTATTCCTTTTGATCTGTTGTGTTCCAGAAGAAGAATGCCTATGACTGTCTTTCCCTCACCTGCTGATCCGACAAGAAGTACATGCTGAAGTGATTCAAAGAGGGCAAGTATGTCATCGATAATTCTTGGTCTGATGAACTCTGTGGTATGTAGAAAGAGACCATCATAAATATTCCAGACGTGATGTTTCTATATAAGCAATGTATGAGCACACCTTTTTATTTGAAGTTTACAATCACAGTGCATGACAAATGCATGTGCTACTGCATTACTTAAACTTTAACAGGTCGCAGTTGTGAAATTAGCTATCAATCGTTTAAGATATGACACAATGTGATGAGGCATAATTTTATGCAAAATGATCCCTTTGTTTCAAGTTTGTATTTGTGTTAATCTGAAGAACATGGTTATTTTTTGGAACATTTGTTTTGTTTTCTACAAGTATTTCTCAATCAGCCTGATACAGTTCTTATTTCTGCGAAATGTATTTTTCAATATACCTGAACAGAAGGTCCATATGATTTTCGTGGTTTGGTCTTGGCCCTCGTGGAAAGGCAGAATTGTTTCTGTGACAACTGCTGTCTCGCACCTACGTATGCTGCTGTTCCATTCCGGTGTCATATTTGCAGGACATTCAGGCTGCAAGGTCGTTGAAACCCTCTCACATAGATTTCTGAAACAAATCTACTATATGAGGAGCAGTATTAAAACCCAATAGTTCTCACCAAACTTTCATTTTTGTTGAAAAGGGTTGTCTTGACGTTTAATGAAATGTCAAAACACTTGCAAATATAATACACACAGCTATTAATAAGTCAGTTCATCAACTGTTTGTTCTTCACACAATTGGTAATCTCCTCTGAAACTAAATAAGTGTGTTCACAATTGATGCTCATTTGATGGTGATTACGTGGAAAGTCACTTTGTTCAATACACATTCCTCACACACAAACTCTTTCTTTGTGACAAGAGTTAGTTGTCAAGGTACATGAAAACATGTTAGTTTGTTGTTAGTCATGGGGAAGAATTGATTTTTAAAAGTAACAAAATGACATTATTATTCATAAGATAATTCCACGTGTGTTGCATTTCCTAAAGTCAACTGATGTAAGTTGAGAGAGGGAGGCGAACACTTAGACATACAACGAGACCCACACATACCATCACGCACGTGCGCACGAACGCATCGCACACCTCGCACACACTCACACTCACACTCACACCCAGACACACATGATAATGACTATAAAAAGTTCATTCATTTTAACATTACTGTAAAAAGAGAAATGATCTGCTAACCTGTATTTGGAAATGTCGTTCTCTGATTTGACAATGAGATGCGTTGGTAGAAAATTCTGAAGTCTTCTGGCCACTTCCAACATCAGAGTAGTCCCACCACTTTTTGGATGAGTTGACACAAAAACGTAGTTGCAATTCATATTTTCTACCAACACTGTGCACTGTTCTCTTGTCAAGAAATTAATCACGTCAGTGTCGGGAAACTGATCTCCAGGCTCTACCTTTGCAACCGCAGCCCAAAAGGAAGTGATGAGTTTAAAATATTTCCTTTTTGACATATAAAGGGAGTCAAGCGTAACAAACTTGCTACATGATTCATCAAGTGTCTTTAAATGGGACTGGAATGTATCATGGGAGTCCAGATGAGACATGCACACGACACCAAACACTACTGAAAAGTCATCATCAATGAACTTATTGAGGGAAGTTGTCACCCCTCTAGCAACACTGACGTTGTATTTCCTTGCTTCTGGTGTGTCCTTGTCCACGAAAGTCAGTACAAATGCTGGTTGAGAAGGTAACATCAGGACAATATCGCAGTGAATATCAGATGGTAATTCACTGCACACGATATTTAAGGGAAAGCACAATGTTTGTGCGATGAAGACGAAGCCATCTGTTCCTTGATGAAGTGTTGGGCCAGCAGTTTCTTTCAGCAAACTGTTTTGTGACATGATAGAATATTTTCCTTTTTGAAGCAAAAGTTGAAGTTTCTCAGTAATCCTTTTGAGTTTGATGGGTAGGGTTTGAGGCACAACGTTTAGTTTACCTATAAGTATAAATCCTTAATTATAATGATATAACTAGTTTACAATAGCATTCGCATGCGTAACTATGGCTCAGTATGTGGCATTTATATGAAATACAGTAGCTCTATAGATTTGTCTGTGTTGAGAGACATGACAGATTAACATAATAATGTAAATCATCTGGAGACATATATAATGATTTCTTACCTTGAATGTTGCAATCTTGAGATTGCGTGTGCATTAGAACCCGAAAATAATATGATGAGATTTGTTTTTGTTTTTTGTTGTTTAACTCCACACTCAGCAGTATTCCAGCTATATGACGGCGGTCTGGACCAGACGATCAAGTGATTGTCAACATGAGCATCGATTCATGCAATTGGGATCATGCATCAACCAAGTCAGCGAGCCTGACCACCCGATCCCGTTAGTCGCCTCTAACGACAAGCATAGTCGCCTTTTATGGCACGCATGGGTTGTTGAAAACCTATTCTACCCCGTATCTTCACGGGTCTAATATTATTAGAAGAAAATAGAGGAAAAAGAACGCACCACCAGGGCAGTAGAACTCTTGTATGTCTTTAATACTGTGTCCAATCTGTTGAAGTGATGGTAGAAAAAAGTCTTTTGTTTGAATGTCGAATTTGTGCTTTTGTTCCTGGCAGATGCTAGTCTGAAAAAAAGTCAAATGAATCATTCTACATGAATATATGTGTGCATGTACGTGAACATGTTTAAACACATTTGTGAAAATGTTTTTGTGACACAATTATAGCATTCGTTGTATGTATCAGCCACTGTATATAAATAATATACAACATTGTTGTCAACAACAAAATAAACATTCACACCTTCAGTCACACTAACCCCTGGTCACAACAACATTACTCAATATGTAAAAGAACTGATATGACTAAGCTCACTATTATGGTGTGAATAGTTTTTCTGATTGGAATATAAAAGCGGACACAACGTACCTTTAGCTCATATGGGGCCAATACATAGTTTGGGGGTTCAAATTTTCTTGTCCTGAAGAAGACGAAAACCGATTGAGTTTAAGGAATGCAAATCTGCTTTATAACATGTTGATGTTTTGATAATGAGGATGAGAATGATGGTGCTGAGTATGATGACGACGACGACGATGATGATGATGATGATGATGATGATGATGATGATGACTAACAGGTTACATTCGCGTCACGTTAACGCTTGATTGAGTTCAGCTTACTAAAGTTTGTCGCCTTTACTGCAACTGTACATGCTTCGTGGTTAGGCTCAATACATTTCAGCCACTTCTCATATGTGCTCGTTTCACCGGCCCAGGCGTCAAACGCGCCGCATTCGCTGTACAGAGTTGCGACCTAAAACCTATGATTATGGGTTCGAATCCCGGTTCGCCCCGATTATGTTTCTAGGTTTCTCAGCACCATACCCGTGCTAATGGGTCTCACCGAAGTGGTAAACGTCAGAGACCTGCATCACTTAGGGCTTTCCTCACACGTTAAGCTGACACGCCGCGATATAACTGGAATACTGTTAAAAGCGGCGTGAATCCCAACTCACTCACTCAATCACTGTTCAGTAGTGATAATAAATGCCAAGTCAAACACTCACAGTTTCTACTGGAATTAAACTAGTCGCCATTAAGTTAAGAGAGATACTATACTATAGTTCCTACTTGACTTGTCCAATTTCCCCCTCTTCATCTTTACGTTTTTCACCAATGTGTTTAAGCTTAAGGAGTGACATCTGAAAATAAAACAAAGCCATTAAACTAGTATACCATGACCACTTCACACCTGAATGAGGGTAATATGATATTATCAGTACAAAGCCATAAGAAGGTATGTTTTGATTTTTGTAAGCAGATATGAATGAGAGGATTATTCTCTACTTGAAAACATAATCCCATGACAATCAACTTTTAATTAAGACACATTTCATCAACAATCTCAAATGCACAGTGTACCAATGCACTTTATGTCCGCGCAAAGATTAATCCTGTTAAATCCTATGTGGAACGAAGCACACTTTTATTGATTTTATTGCTCACTATGAACTCACGTGAAAAGTACAGTTTTATACTATGTAACTTTAAGACATTGAACAACAAGTATAACATTTTCCCAAAAATTAACAACGTCAGAGGCCGAAGTCTTAACGCGTTCAAGTGGGCTATCAATTCGGTTGTACTTTCCTCGTGAGTTTCGAATCTATTCATGTCACCATAATCTTCAACGGCCATAGACAGCCTGTTGTATGAAGGTTTAGTATCATCAACCGCCTAATGTAGTTTGGCCCATAGCGTAGGAAATGACTATCACCAAGTTAGAAACATCTGCATTCAACGGAAACTCGAGCTTCCCACTCGGTTCAGCCTAGGTGAGGGAAGACCGCGAGACAATCGAGTGTCATTTCATACGAGTTAGCAGATGGTATTTTGCTATCAAATTGGTTGTAATTACCGACAATATACACTACCTGATTTTCGGAGCTTGAAGGAATCACGACACAAGATTGCGTCGGTTGAGATGAGGACGACATGTCTAACGACTATCCACTTGGTCCAAGGGGCGATACTCTGATTTACAGCACGAAGTTCAAGGTCGTAGGTAGACGCGACGATTAATGCTGTGATGAACTTTCGACGTGATATTTTGTTTCTTTGTGGTGCTCTGAACCTTTATAATTCAACGATGCTTGCACTACAAGAATACAAAGTGACGGTCCGTGTATTCTAGCTAAGATATGTTTGCCAAATAACACAGGTAACCAATCTTATAAACATGAGCTACCGCCAAACATATAATTATCTGAGAACATCCCATTACAAGTCCGACCTTTCGCGATCTTTGGCCAACCATTTGAATGACTGAGAAGAAGTCTACTAAGCCAATCAAAAGGCAACTTTCCTGAGCTTTACGGCACTGGTTCCATAATGGTGACTGCGCTTCGAAACCTATTTTGACAAATTTTCGATTACAAATTGAAAACTGAACAAAAGAACATTCTTGAATGGCTAAAGGATGGCCTGGTATTGTATGGTTTCAGTCGTAAAGCCGTAACTATCGTTCGGAATGACCCGTGTTAAATGTTTCGAAGTTGCATGATCACGAAACACGTTCTAAATTCACTTTCCTGATCTGGTAAGCGACGCCCTGAGTGGTCGGATGAAAGGTCGTTCTGGCGTGACCCGTAATGGTATGTCCTCATATCTTTGTTAAGCAGAAGCGAGAACTAACTTCTCAGTTAAATGAGATTGCACAGGCACAAACTCACGGACTTGGCATATTCAAGTCAGATATGTCAATTATATACTTTTGTGATGCAGTCGTATTCGCTATGTATCACTGGTGTTTTGTTAAAAAGAGTAGTTCCTGTCGGGAGTAGAGCAGACGTTGTATATGTACACAGTGCTACCGCCTTTGCAATTCGAATGACCAGCTGACCCCCAAAAGAGTCCCGTTTTCACGTGATGGCATAACACAATGTGTAATATAGGTGTATTGTTATTAAACGGGTCATCTTTTCACGAGTAAGTAATAAGTGACTACGCGTTGATGAATACATGAATGCATTCTAATTTGTGTGAAAAATTAATTCAACTCATCGTATGGCAATGCGTCAGTTTTATTACTACATAAAGCATGGGTGATCAACATCTTCATACATATATCATTCCATAACAAAGACTCACATATTGTTATGGCACAAAGTTCACAAATCATTTGAATTCGAACGAAGTAGAGCATATCTAGCAAGAACGTCTTCGGGGACGCGGATATCACAGTTATCTAAGGGACCGCAATTCTCTATTTCAGAAACAAGTGATCATTGTTTCGAATTCATGATTGGCCCTAAATGCGCAATTTATCCAGAGAGGTAAACGACAGATTGTATCACGTTCCTTTCACATGAGGGGGCACGGTTGGCCCAGTCGTCTAACGCGCCGCAATTCGCTGTGCAGAGTTGCGTCCCTTGGGCACGCCAGAAACCTATGATTGTGGGTTCGAATCCCGATTATGTTTCTAGGTTTGTCAGCACCATAACCCTGCTCGTGAGTTTCACCGAAGTGGTAAACGTCTGAGACCTGCATCACTTTTCCCCCACATATAACTTGAATACTGTTAAAAGCGGCGTTAAACCCAACTCACTCATTCACTCACTCATTCACTCCTTTCACATAAAGCCAACCCGCCATGATACACATATGCCTGAAATAGTGTTCAAACCAGCGTGAAACTCACTAACTCACTCACCAACTAAAAGTGGTTAAATTTGCTATTTGGAACTTTGAACCTGCAGGTTCATGATGAATGCGTACACTTTCATCGTATTCATATTTAAGCATATAATAACATAGGTACATGAATACATATATAGGTGCAATAGATAAGGATTGCCTAAGGCAAGATATGCAAATGTAATCATTGAAACCGGACATATTTTTTAAACACCAAATGATGTATTAGTTAGACGGACATGCCATTAATTTCAAAGGCAATGCATGGTATATTGTCCACATAATCCAAGGTCCACGGAGTCCACACAATACTAAGAGCTGTTTATTGAAACAAAGACTTACTACTGAATTATGTGTTCTGATGGTATTTATGAACAAGCAGGAAGTATTCTCGGGATTTTCATATTTCTAAAATGACAAATGTACCTGCCTAACGAGAATATATTGATCTCCATATTGATATTCATGTTCCTTTTGTGCATTGTACGCTGTGCTTTGGTATCAATGACACATGCGTAAAACATCAAACCGATGTTTGTGTGGGCATGGCAATCTTTTCGAACCATGTTTTCACATCAACACGGGTACAAATGTTGTTGATGATTCGGCATGATACAGGGCCATGTTTGTCATAAAATGCTACTCCATTGAATGGGCGAACCAGTACCTCGACAATGTAGTACTGCATGTTGTGTGGAACACGCGTAGTACTTGCTTGCACATATTCAGAGGGTACAAGGGTGCAGTTTACTTTCATTATGTCCAACTTAGGATCAGTGTGCCCCTTAAAGTCACACACCAGGCTCTCGTCATGGACAAGTTCTTCGAGGTAGCCTCTGAACTCATTTTCGTCCTCAAGTGGCACTCCTTGTACAATGAGATCTTTTGACTTATACACACCATTGCTCTTATCTTTTTCCCCAATTCCTAGCAGGAAGGATCCACCCCGCTTGTTCTTTGTGAAGGCACTGACATACTCCCTCAGTCTAAGATCATCCCAAACTGTTCGGGCTTTGTTATAGCCCGATAATGACTTCCAGTCAACTCTGAGTTTATTTTCCATGAAGCCCTTTAGTTGTAAATCACGCTTCTCTTGCAATTGTGAAATCGTTTCAAAGTCACCATTGAATTTGAAATCAATTTCTTCACGATGAATGTGATTGCAATTGTTTTGTTCGACAACAAACCTCTTCATTGTGATAGGAAAAGGGGTTATGATTCCCCAATCTAAAGATATTTTAGTTTTAAAGTCAGCTGTGGAAAATTCTGTGCCTTTTGTAACAAAAATACTGATGAAATCATGGAACTGGTTGCATCCTTCAGCCTCGCTAAGCCTTGCTTTTTTATACACGCTTTCAAACATTCTTCCATCTTCTATCATTTTGTAAAGGGTGTCATCTGCAAACTCGTCAAAAGCACCAAGGTACTTTTCATTTGGATCTAAGCCTACAATGTGAACAAGTAAGTAGCCACCATTAGAATTTCTTAGCGCAGAGATATGCTTTGTGAGTTCGACTAGCTTCAAATTCCGTTTTTCCCTTTTCTCGAATTTTTCTCGATCAGTTAATTTCTTGTCGATGCCATACAGATAGTGGACGTGAATTCCCATAAATTGTATGTTCGGGCTGGTAGCCATTGTGTCTTGGAACGACTTAACAGCTTCATTGCATCTTTCAATGTGCCTAAAACAGACAGAAAAGCAGTGACCAGATCTCTCGCAACATATTTTACTCTCTGCTTATACATGATTACTTAAGTTTTGGTTTTCATTTTGGTATGCTAGCTTATATGTAAATTTCAAATGTCACTTAAGGATGACACCAGTTCATACAGTGCTTGTGGCATCAATGTACACACTGACAGTCCCATAACCATTAGCTGTGATGCAGGAATAAATATTTCCCAACCCGAGAGATAATGCATACGAATTTATATGATTTACATAATTGACATTTGAAAACACGGCGTCAACATGGCAAACACGATGGACCAGAGGTTTCCAAAGTTTATCGAAAGTCTTTGAAAATAGCCATGTGTATCGATCGATCACTAATGTAAAGATGTTAAAGTTGTCAAAGTCTGAGACATGCTGTGTGCTGTCATTGTCATATTTTACCAAATGACCTTACAAAAATGTGCTATACTGCCCGTCGTTCATGGAGATACAGGGGCGATCGGGTAGCCTTGTGGTTAAAGCGTTCTCTCGCCACGCCGAAGACCCGGGTTCGATTCCCGACATGGGTACAGTGTGTGAAGCCCATTTCTGGTGTCCCCCGTCGTGATATTGCTAAAATATTGTTAAAAGCGGCGTAAAACCATACTCACTCACTCACTCACTCATGGAGATAAAGGACGGACGGATTATTTCGGAATAAGTATATTGTGTATATAGAGGTTATCACGCGAGTGTGTTTGGGGATGGTAAATATCCTGCATTAGGAATAAACATTGTATTTAGCGAGCCTTGGCATTCTTCAATTCTGTGCTTGAAAATCGATTCCCCTCACTCACTAACATTACCTAATCATTGCGAGTTTTCCTGGAATGCGCGCATTAATATTTATTACGTCACAGGGTAAGTGATGTGTCAGTCGGACAGTGACAGTAGCCAACATAGTTCCACGTGAAATCTGTTTCTTATACATTGGCGAAGCAACATATACGCAAAACAACAATTGTTTTTACTTGCCTTTCGCGGCAATCCATCGGTCTGTCCGCTAGAGCAACTGTCCTTTGTCAAAGGAAATTTACTCTAACCCTAGTCTATGAGACGTCGCGGCCACGTTCAGACGTTGTTGACAGTCGGCCTGCTCTGTCATAACGTTAAGAAGTTCAGTCAGATGTACACACAGCACCAAAACGAAACGAGGTAACAATTCATACATATTTCGCCTAAATCCAACTACAGTAAACTACGGTTATAACGAACACGCTTATAACGAACTAACGGATATAACGAACTAACTTTCTAGTCCCCACTATATGCTGTAGTTATGCTGTATATATGCTTATAACGAATTACGGTTATAACGAACTAAAATTAGTAGTCCCTTTGAGTTCGTTATAACCGTAGTTTACTGTATTTTTATTTGTGGAAAAGGTTTCAAGCCGCAGAGGTCTACAAGCACAGATATGGCAACTGATCCCGCTTGACTAGGCCTAGTGCCCTCGCAAAATTGTTTCGAAATTTATATCTCCAAAGTTGCCAAAACTTATAAAATGCCTCAGTTACGTCGCAGATAGACACTGGTTTTCAGTATATAAGACTTGGTTTTTTTAGAATTATGCAATTATCCCTGTAGTTTATCCAGATTCAGGATGGTTAATTATGACTCAATCGCCGAATGACAAGTGCGGCTCCATGTTTGTTTATAAACACTGAAGGAAGTCCCTACTTGACCTTTGAAATTTGCATCTCTATCCGCATATGACCCCAACGGATATCGTTTTTATCCGTTGGCTTTATCCTGCCGAGAAACCTACCCATTATATGATAAAGGTTGGTATCCGTATTAGTCTGCAGCGTGGTATCTCAGTGGGCTAGCGACCCGTGAAGATTCCAGGGTAGAATAGGTCTTCAGCAACCCATGCTTGCCGTAAAAGGTGACTATGCTTGTCGTACAAGGCGACTAACGGGATCGGGTGGTCAGGCTCGCTGACTTGGTTGATGCATGTCATCGATACCAATTGCGTTGATCGATGCTCATGGTGTCAATCACTGGATTGTCTGGTCCAGACTCGATTATTTACAGACCGCCGTCATATAGCTGGAATACTGCTGAGTGGGCGTTAAACAACAAACCAACCAACCAACCAATCAGTGGGCTAGCACTATAAATCTGGCATAAATGTAGTACTAACACAAGCCACCACACACAAAGTTGCACGTCGCTATTTTAGTGAAACAGTCATGAATGCGACGTTAAACCTCATTTCACTTCATCTCACTGTCAGTATCAGGACCCAGTCGAGCTTCTGTGGTGTGTATTCATATATTTGTGTGTTCACTAGAATATTTTTTCCAGGACATGTAGTAATAAACGTCTCTTCAAACGTGCTGATATCCACATACTTTCGTGGCATACGGACATCATTTCGTTTATAAGCAAAGAACCACACAAAATCGTCAATTCCAAAAACCATTAGTTATCATCAATAAAAGTAATTAGGGACTGTCACAACATTACTTGTTTCACGTGATGAATCATCACATTTTGAATTAATTAGGACATCATAATATGTTTTGTGTCGTTATACGCTTGGTTGTTTTGCAATGGATCCCAATATACACAATCATATATTCATGTCGCTAGTTTGGTGATTTGAATGGGGTACTGTTATTTCTAAGAACATTTCAACTGTAACTGCAGGGGGCACGGGTGATGTAACTGGAATACTGTTAAAAGCAGCGTTAAAACCAAATCACTCACTCACTCACTCACTCACTAATAAAGGCTAAACCTGCCAAGCCACCTATCACGATTTGAGCGATTGCCTCTAATGACACCCGATAGTAATTGTCACCCGAACCAAACACGAGGCAGTAATTTGAGGATGTTTCACTCTATCTAAATTGAAACATACCCTTTGCATGCCGGACGAACACCCTTGGATTTTTCTCCACAATGTTCGCATACTTCTAATGTGTTCATTCCGCTGTAAACAAAGAAGAAGATTGATTTGCCAATTACCATATTCATCGTCTGTTCGTATTTGACTGTAGCGAACATAATCCATATAGTTAATTTGGTGTCCTATTTAAGCATATCACAATGGATTTTATTGAACATGGTGCGGCTAAAGCATGCAAGCTGGGCAACAAGAGTTCATCGTAACATTTGGTTGCACACGACGTTTCCAGACATAGTACATGCACACACAAGTATGTATTCCATACAATGTAAGCCCTTGAAATAGAATGGGCATGGCCCAGTCGCCTAAGGCGCCGCGATTTGCTGTGCAGAGTTGCGTCGCGTGGACACGCCAGAAACCTATGATTATGGGTTCGAATCCCGGTTTACCCCCATTATGTTTCTAGGTTTGTCAGCACCATACCCGTGCTCGTGGGTTTCACCGAAGTGGTAAACGTCTGAGACCTGCATCACTTTGGGCTTTCCTTCCACATTAAGCTGACACGCCGCGATATAACTGGAATACTGTTAAAAGCGGCGTTAAACACAACTCACTCACTCACAGTATGAGCAGGGTGTGGCTTGTCACGTGTCAACATGATGTTATCTTTTAAATGCCATCGTACGTCAGTCACTACATGGGAACATTTATATCTGCATAACATTTCCACGAATGCACACACACGTGGGGTTCGCGTAAGTGTATTTGAAAGCCATGAGTGATTTGTACAACGTAACCCATTCATTGATGGCTTATGATGCGAACATACAGATACAATATATGTGAAACTCATATGTAATTATAATATTTTCATAGATCGTGTGAAATTCAGTGAATATACATATCGGGAGTATGTATGTTCACATAAACATGACTAAGGTTGCTCTTTTCAGGTCACAACTCATCGCTCTGAAACTGACTCTTAATGCATCCGCTGTGCTGCGTGACAACCGCTGAAGTGGTGCGATATAGATCTGAGGTTCAATTGCAACCGGATATTGTTTGGACTCCCGGACTTTTGACAAACATAGTTATGCAGGCTAAAGGTTTCTGGTCGACAATATATTCAGTAACGCTCATATTGACAGAGAAAGAAATACCGTACAGATATATTCACTACCGTGTCGAGCAATATGATAGCCAAATGCAGGTATCTCTCTGACTGTCGGAAGTGTAACTCATAAAGATGCATACACATGGGCGATGTTCAGCGTATGTAAATGTATTTGACATAAGGAAAACAGTAAGCAGTTCAAGTCGGCCCTACGTGAACCATAGCTAATGTGTATATAACCCACACTCCAGATATACACTCATCTCAGATGGTTCAAGGGGGCATGGGTGGCCCAGTCGTCTAAGGCGCCGCGATTCGCTGTGCAGAGTTGCGTCCCTTGGACACGCCAGAAACATATGATTATGGGTTCGAATCCCGGTTCGCGCCGATTATGTTTCTAGGTTTCTCAGCACCATACCCGTGCTCGTGGGTTTCACCGAAGTGGTAAACGTCTGAGACCTGCATCACTCCGGGTTTTCCTCCCACATTAAGCTGACACGCCGCGGTATAACTGGAATACTGTTAAAAGGGGCGTAAAACCCAACTCACCCAATCAGGTGGTTCATATCAGATACATCTTACTGCTACTAACACAATCTGTGTATGTAAATATTATAATAATAATGTTGCAATATATTTGTCCCTGTCACATGTTAATATTTGTTTCTCCTACTTCCTCAGAGCTGTTCCGAGTATTATTGTTCACGTTATAAACTACTTCCTTGTGTTATTGTTCTAATTGTTACACGCTGTTATATAATGGTCGATACACAAAGCATACCTTAAAGCTATCAGTTTTCCTTCCTTACATATTAAAATACAAATAGCATGCTATCATGCTGATATGTTAGTTTAAAGTCTATCAAACTTGCCCCACCACATACGAGCCTGCACCTATCACACACACATACACACACATACACACACATACACACACACACACACACACACACACACACACACACACACACACACACACACACACACACACACACACACACACACATCCAAACTTGCACCATCAAAAACCAGACAGCACACACGATCTATCACATGCTGACTATACTTTCTCCGACCAACCCAACACCAGACAGCACACACGATCTACCACATGCATACCTATACTTTCTCCACCCAACCCAACACCAGACAGCACACACTATCTATCACATGCATACCTATACTTTCTCCACCCCATCCCACACCAGACAGCACACACGATCTACCACATGCATACCTATACTTTCTCCACCCAACACAACACCAGACAGCACACACGATCTATCACATGCATACCTATACTTTCTCCACCCCATCCCACACCAGACAGCACACACGATCTATCACATGCATACCTATACTTCCTCGACCCAACCCAACACCAGACAGCACACACCAGACAGCACACATTAACTAACACATACATACCTATACTTTCTCCACCCTATCCCACACCAGACATCATACACGATCTACCACATGCATACCGATACTTTCTCCATCCCATCTAACACCAGACAGCACACAAGATCTATCACATGCATACCGATACTTCCTCCACACCACCTAACACCAGACAGCACACACGATCTATAACATGCATGCCTATACTTCCTCTACCCCACCCAACACCAGACAGCACACACGATCTACCACATGCATACCTATACTTTCTCCACCCCACCCAACACCAGACAGCTCACACGATCTATCACATGCATACCTATACTTCCTCCACCCCACCCAACACCAGACAGCACACACGATCTATCACATGCAAACCTATACTTTCTTCACCCCATCCCACACCATACAGCACACACGATTTATCACATGCATACTTATACTTTCTCCACCCCACCCAACACCAGGCAGCACACAATATCTACCACATGCATACGTATACTTTCTCCACCCCACCCAACACCAGAGAGCACACACGATCTATCACATGCAAACCTATACTTTCTTCACCCCATCCCACACCAGACAGCACACACGATCTATCACATGCATACTTATAATTTCTCCACCCCACCCAACACCAGACAGCACACACGATCTATCACTTCCATACCTATACTTCCTCCACCCCATCCCACACCAGACAGCACACACGATCAATCACATGCATACTTATACTTCCTCCACCCCACCCAACACCAGACAGCACACACGATCTATCACTTGCATACCTATTCTTCCTTCACCCCATCCCACACCAGACAGCACATACGATCTATAACATGCATACCTATACTTTCTCCACCCCAACCCACACCAGACAGCATACACGATCTATCACATGCATACCTATACCTTCTCCACCCCCATCCCAAACCAGACAGCACACATTAACTTTCACATACATACCTATACTTCCTCCACCCCATCCCACACCAGGCAGCATACACGATCTATCACATGCATACCTATACTTTCTCCACCCAACCCCACACCAGACAGCACACACGATCTATCACATGCATACTTATACTTTCTCCACCCCACCCAACACAAGACAGCATACACGATATACCACATGCATGCCTATACTTCCTCCACCCCATCCCACACGAGACAGCATACACGATCTATAACATGCATACCTATACGTCCTCCAGCCCATCCCACACCTTACATCATACACGATCTATAACATGCATGCCTATACTTCCTCCAACCAATCCCACACCAGGCAGCACACACGATCTATCACATGCATACCTATACTTTCTCCACCCCACCCAACAACAAACAGAACACACGATCTATCAAATGCATACCTATACTTCCTCCACCCCATCCCACACCAGACAGCATACACGATCTATCACATGCATACCTATACTTTCTCCACCCAACCAACACCAAACAGCACACACGATCTACCACATGCATACCTATACTTTCTCCACCCCACCCAACACCAGACAGTACACACGATCTATCACATGCAAACCTATACTTTCTTCACCCCATCCCAAACCTGACAGCACACACGATCTATCACATGCATAACTATACTTTCTCCACCCCACCCCACATCAGACAGCACACACGATCTATCACATGCATAGCTATACTTTCTCCACCCCATCCCACACCAGACAGCACACATGATCGACCACATGCATACCTATACTTTCTCCACCCCATCTAACATCAGAGAGCACACACGATCTATCACATGCATACCTATACCTTCTCCACCCCAGCCCACACCAGACAGCACACACGATCTATCACATGCATACCGATACTTTCTCCACCCCATCCCACACCAGACAGCACACACTATCTACCACATGCATACCGATACTTCCTCGACCCCACCCAACACCAGACAGCACACACGATCTATAACATGCATGCCTATACTTCCTCCACTCCACCCAACACCAGACAGCACACACGATCTACCACATGCATACCTATACTTTATCCACCTCATCCAACACCAGACAGCACACACTATCTATCACATGCATATCTATACCTTCTCCACCCCAGCCCACACCAGACAGCACACATTAACTTTCACATGCATACCTATACTTTATCCACCTCATCCAACACCAGACAGCACACACTATCTATCACATGCATATCTATACCTTCTCCACCCCAGCCCACACCAGACAGCACACATTAACTTTCACATGCATACCTATACTTCCTCCACCCCGTCCAACACCAGACAGCATACACGATCTATCACATGCATACCTATACTTTCTCAACCCCAACCAACACCAAACAGCACACACGATGTACCACATGCATACCGATACTTTCTCAACCCCACCCCACACCAGACAGCACACACGATCTATCACATGCATACCGATACTTTTTCCACCCCATCCCACGCCAGACAGCACAAATTAACTATCACATGTATACTTATACTTTCTCCACCCACCCAACACCAGACAGCACACACGATCTATCACATGCATACCTATAC